TATAAAACATCCACCTACTTCTACATGTTGCAATGTAATTTAACCACTAAAATCATCATAAAAACTTGATCAGACGATGTAATCACAGCTTCTTTCACTTTGCAGAATAGGTTTTTGGAATAGGTGCTTCTGACCTGATTTTTCTTCACATTGAGGATAGAAAATTTGTTATACCTTCTAATGAGCTTCAGAAGTAGTTGTTGGGGGGTGGTTTTAAGGCCACACAAATTCCGGGCATATTGTAGCATGCAGTTCTACCGTGCAGTTCCATCTAAGGGAATTATTCTCAAACAATACTTTAAAAACAAGGCAGTAACCCAAATCATAAGCTTTAATAGTAATTGAGTGAGATCCAACAGAGCACAAGGTGGTGTCCACTCATCCAACATAGCTTCTCCTTACTTTCTGTCCCCACCCACCCACCTGCAGCTCCCTGCATGCCCCAAAGGGGTGGGGCTAGAGGATTTCCTTTTGATGTCACCCATTGTGTGATAGAATTCATGATCACACTTGAACTCCACTATCAATTTTCCCCCTCCTCAAGTTGAATGGAATTGACTTTCTCACCAGTCTGTTTTCCAAGTCATGTTTTGGCTTTGTATTACCTAGCCTCTGCCTTTTGTAAGACGGACAAACTAAGAATAGAGGAAATGTGTTATTTTTCTGATCATTATAGTCTCACTTTTTGCATAGGTCTATTTAAGGGAATTAACCATGGTAGCAGAACATTCCTATCCAGAGAGAAAGTGAATATTTCTAATTACCAGCTGCTATGTCCAAATTACAAGGGATGGTTCTACTGGGCCCTACCTGTAGGCTCTGGTCTGAAGGCACAGTATATCACCTTGAGTTCTACTGAAGAAAGAAAAGGGTAACACATACATATGAGCTTCCCAGGAACATTTCATTGACTGTGGCAGATGTTGGAATAAATGTTGGAATAGATGTTTGATTTGATCCACCAAAGCCATTCCTATGTTTTTAGGCTGGGACATCCCCTTACTCAAGACAAGCCTTCACTTCCAGGGTTGTGTTATGAATTCAGAACCAAAATCAACTACCCAGTGACGGTCCATCTTTCTGGCTTGTCCAATGTGTCTGACAACTTTAGATAAATAAGTTTTTATTACAGAATACAGTGGTGCCCCGCAAGACGAATGCCTCGCAAGACGAATGCCTCGCAAGACGAAAGGGTTTTCCGTTTTTTGAGTCGTTCCGCAAGATAAATTTCCCTATGGGCTTGCTTTTGTCTTGCGAGTTCTTGCGAGCTTGTTTCCTTTTTCTTAAAGCTGCTAAGCCGCTAAGCCGTTAATAGCCGCTAAGCTGCTAATAGCCGCTAAGCCGCTAATAGCCGTGCTTCGCAAGACAAAAAAACTGCAAGACGAAGAGACTCGCGGAATGGATTAATTTCGTCTTGCGAGGCACCACTGTACACAAAACAATGAGTACATCATTTTAAGCATTTTTCAAAAGAAAGTGATTATGTCCAGTGTTGTTTTAGACTTTGTGCAAACTATTCAAGGTCCTTGTGACTGAAAATTATTACAGGGTGGGGTGGTTTTGTTCACAACACTAGGCTGTGGACGAAGTTTTAAATGGCTACAACACATTTTGTAAGATAATCCAACATGCTATATTGTGTTAGCAGCCAGGATAGAACTTTCTTTATGTACGCTACAACAGCAGCAAGAATACTTATCGCAAAGTATTGGAAGACTCAAGATCTACCCACTCTGGAAGAATGGCAGATGAAAGTGATGGACTATATGACACTGGCCGAGATGACAGGCAGAATCCGTGACCAACGAAAAGAGACGGTGGAAGAAGAATGGAGAAAATTTAAAAGTTATCTTAAGGACTACTATAAACTTAATGAATGCTAAAATGTTGTGGTTTCCAGAAACAAAGGGATACAGGGATATAAGGTTAGAGATATAAAAGAGAACTAAGATGACAGAGATTGGAAAGTAACAACTGGGAGTTGTTAGTTGAACTATGGACATTGGGATGCAGAGAGGGGGGGTATGGGGAAGTCAAAGGAAAGAGGTTTATGAAAATATGTTTGAAACTATACGTGTATGTTTGTCATTCTTGGTGTTTGTTTGTTTTTCTTAAAAAGTTTCTAAAACCAATAAAAAATTTATTAAAAAAAATATATATATATATTGTGTTAGCAGCCTATAATTATGTTTTCCATTGTTAATCAAGTCAGTCTTATTCTGGGATCTGTTTTCATCAGCTTAATAAATAATCATGTTATTGAAACTAGTATGTGTAAGAATAAAACTGCATTGTTGTACAAAGTAGTTAGTTGGCAAGCAAGATATATGTCTGGAAATGCAGTAGTCTCTTGTACTTCTAAATGACTTGCCGATGCTGAACAACAAATTGGGGCATAGGCAGCTGCCATATGCTGAGTCAGACCAATGGATCCATCTAGTTGAATATTGTGTAAATCAACAGTAGCCAAAATGCCACGCTCCAGCTGTTGTTGGTATACAACTCCCATACAATCTTTCCACAAGGGCAGACATTGATGCTGAAATCCAGCATTGCCTGAGCTCTGCGAGTGCAGCTTTCTCCCGATTGAAGCACAAAGTGTTTGAGGACAGGGACATTCACAGGGAAACCAAAACGCTTGTTTACAAAGCTATTGTACTTACCAACCTTACTGTATGCTTGTGAAACATGGACCACTTATAAACGCCATCTCCAACTCCTTGAAAGATTCCATCATCAATGGTGTCTCTGAAAATTCTTACATATCACTTGGGAAGACAGTCAAACTAATGCTAGTGTACTGGAAGAAGCAAAGATCAGTGTCAAAGCAATGATTCTTCCACATCAACTTCATTGGACTGGTCATGTTGTTCAGATGCCTGATGATCATCGTCCAAAGCAACTACGCTATTCCAAACTTTAAAATGGAAAGCATAATGCTGGTGGACAACAAAAGAGGTTTAAAGACTCTCTCAAGGCAAATCTTTAAAAACATTGACAATTGGGAAACACTGGCCTGCAAGTGCTCCAATTGGAGAACAGTCTTTACCAGAGGTGTCATGGACTTTGAAGACGCTCGAACTCAGGACAAAAGGGAGAAACGTTCCAAGAGGAAGGCACGCTTGGCAAATCCTCACCATGATCAACTCCTGCCTGGAAACCTATTGTCCCCACTGTGGAAGGACATGTGGATCCAGAATTGGCCTCCACAGTCACTTACAGACTCACTTATAAGACTGTTTTCATGGAAGACAATCTTACTTGGCTACGTGTAATCACCAAAGAAGAAGACGACGACAACCACCATTATTCCTGATCATTGGCTGCAGCAGATGAGAGTTGGGAGTGCAACAACATCTAGAGAGTACTCATAAGCTACTCCTGGGTATACTGACTGGTAGCAGTTTTTCAGGGATTCTGGCAAGAACAGCCCTGCCTGGAGACTATGGTGACTGAACCAGCAAATGTTTGCATGTGGAGTATGCACTCTACCTCTAAGCTATGCTCTTCCCCTTGAACATGCATTTATTGTGCCCGTTCATTGTGTACCGTATTTTTCGCTCTATAACTACGTTTTTGCACCACTGCTGCCCCATGCAACAGTGGGTGATTTTTTTGGTGCAAGATGTAGCCATGGACGTGCTATGTGATCTGATGGTGAATTTGGGGTGACCCAGTGCAAAAATCCTGAGGATCCATGTGGATCTGTGCTTTGTAACCACGTTTTAAGTGGGGAGGGAAGGAAAAGCACTCAAGGGACAAGGAGCACGCGTGGGGTGTGTGGAGAAGGATGCTGCTAATAATGCAGAAGAGGGGTTTAAGGGGAGAAGGAACATGCGTGGGGTGGGTGGAGAAGGATGCTGCTAATAATGCAGGAAAGGGGGTTAAGGGGAGAAGAAGCACACATGGGGTGGGTGGAGAAGGATGCTGCTAATAATGCAGGAGAGGGGTTTAAGGGGAGAAGAAGCACGCGTGGGGTGGGTGGAGAAGGATGCTGCTAATAATGAAGAAGAGGCTCCCCTCCTCTCCCGCTTTGCTCCTTTAAAGCAAGCAGGCTCTGCTTTTCTCCCTCCTCCCCGCTCATCCCCGGCTTAGCGAGCAAAAAACTTTGCTGCTGAGTGGGGAGGAGAGAGGGACAGAGAGCCTGCTTGCTTTAAAGGAACTCGTGTAAGCAGCTCCTCTCCTCTCCCGCTTTGCTCCTTTAAAGAAGCAGGCTCTCTGTCCCTCTCTCCTCCCCATTCAGCGGCTCTTCTCCCGCTTTGCTGTTTCAAAGCGAGCCATGGAGGAGGGAAGGAAGGGGAACCATGGATCCTCTGCTCACGACTGCAGCAGATCCCCACCACCACCACCCGTAGGCATTTGCTCCATAACACACACAGACATTTCCCCTTACTTTCTAGGAGGAACAAAATGAGTGTTATGGTGCAAAAAGTACGGTAATTTCCCTCTTGCAACTTTTTATTGTGTGAAGGGGTCTTGCAGTTCATGGATCTTTCCTACTCAACCACATTGCCTACTAAATGGCCAAAGGAGAATATATGGAAGCCTCAGATGGACATCTACCTCCAGGCTGATCTGTCCAGTACTTGGTATGGGATAAATGGATACCATAAGAGCAATTTCTGGAGTCAGGCAGTACAACCACTAGGCTAGTAAAAAATAAGACATACTCTGATTAATCTGGAAGACAGTTCTTAATCTAATTTTCAGAACAGCAGCTAAACAGGCCTTCTACTGATATCTATTAGAGAAAACTTTAATTCAAGACTTAAAAGTCAAGCAATAAAGAAAACAGAGACAATATTGGCAAGCCTGTGTGTTAATTCTAAGACACACACACACACACACACATATACATGAGTGGAAGACTGCTGAAGCCGCAATCCTAAGCATAGTTACTCAAAAGTAAACCCCCTCCAAGTTCAGGAGGACATTATCTAGTAAGTGAGTTTAGAAATGCAACCTAGCAAAGCTAGAATGAATAGTATGACAAATTGAGGCATAGATGGAAAATAACTTTTATTCAAAATGTTTGGTAACAAACAATTATTTTTTCCAGAGTTTGGGGCACTTGTACTTTAAAACTTTTATATACAAGACAGGAAACAAACCATAAACCAAGCTGGGTTAAAATTTCACTAAGGTTAATAATAATCAACTCTACTAGATTTATTGCAAGTTTTAGTAAAATAAATACTTTACCAAATATGTATGTCTTCAGTGGAAATAAAAGTTAAGGACATTAATAGTATATGATTCAGTAAATATTAATAAATATGAACTAATAAAAGGCCAACTGCATATAAATTCTAACCCCAAATTCAGTTTATAGCACATAGCTTGTTGTTTGATCCAATAAACAACTTTTCAAAGTTGCTATATTCATTTCTGTACATATACAATTCCAATGGCATGTTTTGTGTGCCACTTTGCAGTCTGATTTAAAGGTGTATTAACTGTAGTTTAGTTTAACAAAATAAAATAAAACTGAGAGATTCAATTCAGTTCCATCTTTCTGGAGGAAAAGGCTATTGTGAAACTGAGTGGTTGAGTGTGGACATATATATCCTCGCTTCATAAACTGTGATATATACACAAGCCCTATGCTTGCATATTCCATCTTCATATCTCCCATTCCTTCTTTGGTACACCATGATTAACCTGAGAAGTCTTCCATGAAACTCAGTCCCATTATTTCCAAACTGAGAATCTATAGTTAACTGGTTTGGAACAAGTCATGATCTGAAACCACAGTTTGTAGTTGATTTAACATACTGGCTTGTTCCAAGCCTGGAAATCATATGTTCTCAAACTGGACAGAGCAAGAAACTATGGTTAACTTCCTGGATTAATCAAGGAATGCTGAAAAGCGAGGAACAAAGGGGCAGGGCTATGTTTGTTTATTATGCAGATCTTTGTACATTCAAAATAGGCCAGTATGTGAACATAGATTTTACAGATTCTTTGCATGTGTATTGACCTGCTCACTGGTTCTTTAATATTGTCTTTCCGGGTTACAATGTGCAACAGTAATCAAAGCAACATCAAGCGAGGAAGTCAAAGAATGTCCGATTGGTCAAAGTCAATTATGCATAAGGCACACCAGAGGAAGAAAAGGCTGATGCCCACAGTGATCTTTTTAGTAATTCACTTTGCTTAATTGAAAAAGGTGTGACTTATAAATTCATTAAAAACTTTAAGACTTTGGTGCTGCTCTGAAAAACTGATGGGGGCCTCTCTTGACACCCCTTGATATAATGAAGCCGAGTAACAGAGGCACTCACCTTTTTAGTAAACCCAGTGGAGGACAAGTGACTTGCTGTTAGTGGTGGGGGTTTTCACTGAACTAAAGCAGAAGCAATAAATAGTGCTGCTATTTCAGTATGGAAAAGCCTTTCTCAGGGCAGAAGTACAATTGGACCCATGCATTCCATTCCCAATGCCCACAGCCTCCTAGCTTTTGTACGGCCATGCATTAGCTAGGAGCTGCATCAAGGAATTATTCTTTACTGTAAATATATCTATGCAGCTCTGCACTGTTCATCTCATACAGGATGTTGCAAACACATGCTAGCTGCTATAGCGGAGGATGATCATACTGCCAATGAAGCAGTGTGCATGATTCTTTTGTACTGTAGATTATTATAAAGCATATAAAAAGAACGGTTCTGGAAGTCACGCCGTAATTACCTATAATTAACAACAAATCTGTATTTTATTTAACAGAAGGTTTTAGAAATCTGATTTACAACTAAATGACCAACTATACTTTCACAGAACATCACAACGACTCTGATGTGATGAAAAATAGTGGCATACCAGGAGCACACAATTCCAATCAAGGTATTTATTCCAATCAAGGTTTGCAACCACAACTTTCCCCGCTTCCTTCACAAAAGCAATTCAGGGTTTGCAAGAGCATTTCAGGAAAATATAAATTATATTATATTATTTTAAGGACAGGTACACAGAGCATGTGCTAAGATCATACTCAGCTGAAACTTAAAGATATGGTCTCTCTCTCTCTCTGCTGATCATTTCTTTTGACTGTTTAAAGGTTTTTCGGAATGTGTGCTGTATGGTTTGCCTGTCTGCAAGGCACGGTACAAATGGAGTACCTGGTGTAAAGCCCAGAAATATTTGCAGAATAATATCTACATAGTGGTCACTAATAAAATCTTTACCAGCACTGTGTACAAGTCATTGTCAATAATAGCACATGTTCCGGGAGGTATAGAAACACCACAGCTACATTAATTGTTAGTCGGGGGGAAAGTCAAGATGAAATAAACCTGTAGTCAATGTGAAAGTAATTATACAATGACTTATGAAATGGATTGCACAGTTGTACAGAAGGAGCTTACTATACTGATTGCAATAGGATACCTCTCCCCTACCGTATATAAGCACAAATCAAGGACTGAAAAAAGTAATAGCAACTTATTAAGAGGCAAACAGCCTGGTTTCCTGGCTGGCTAAGAAAAGCTCCTGGTGCCACAGGGAAAACTCTAGCTGCCATGGGACCTCACACTTGTGGGTTACATGAGAAGTGCTTCTTCACACAGCCCATGGTTAAACTATGGAATTCATCAGCTACAAGATGTGGTGATGCTACCACTTTAGATGGCTTTAAAAGGAGCTTTGACAAACTGATGGGAGGGTAAGGCTGTCAATGGCTAGATGCTGTCTCCGGGATCAGAGGCAGAGAAGCCAGTTGCAGCTGACCTTGCGTCCTGCTTGTGGGTGTCTAATGGGCATCTGATTGGCCACTGAGAGAAACAGGATGTTGGATTAGGGCTCTACTTGCACTAAGCAAAACCCGTTGAGGTTGCACTGTTCCAAGAAAACCACAGACAACAGGGCTGCAGTACCTGTGCTGGTAGCAAACCTGTTACTTTGCAAAAGCCAGATTGCCTAACAGTTACGGGAATTTTGCTGTGCTTTTTATTGCCACACGCACACTGTTATGCAAGGCTACCTGTCTCTTAGGATACTGCATTTTTCTCGCAGTGGTACTTCCCTACAGAAAATGTATTTCTTATAAGAAAATACAACTGCAAATATGCAGTTAGGATATTTAAAAAGTACTGATATGCTCTGTCTCCTTAGGGGGGATTATTAAATTAGGATTCCTATTTATTGCTCACAATGCAGCAAGGTAATTAAGGCCACAACCCTATGACCACTTACATGGGAATAAGACCCATTGAACTCAATGGGACATACTTCTGAGTAGACATGGATAGGATTGCGCTGTAAGACACATACTTGCCTGGGAGTTTTCCCACAGCTATTTCCTTTGCTTGAACAGCAGAAATGCAAATTGCATTTTAAACTCAGCAGTTGTTTTTTTAAATGGCTTTGGCATTTGTTGTGAAAAGCTGCCAAAAAGGAGAAATACTAAGGGGGGGGGGAGCCACCTGTGCATGCTTGTAGCTATGGACCAGAATAATTTTCTTTGGCTTTTCAATTAGTGTTTCTTAACGTATGTTTATAATAAAAGTATTTCCAATACAAGGAGGAAAAAATGGGTGAAGGTATTGAAAAAATAAGCAAGAGTTCAAAATGGTCCATTTAGTGTAACAGTTTTTTTAAAAAAACAAACCTGTGGAACCAAGTAGGATATTAAAATAGAGTTTATAAATGAAAAGCAAAGGCAGGCAAAAATGTGAAGCAAGAATGGGTGACCTGAATTTTTCCTGCATAATGTGGGGGGGGGGAGGGGGGAGAGAGACAGAGAGAGAGAGAAAACTACATAGGCACTTGTCCCTTATTTTGTAGGATCCTTTTCAACAAGCTTAGGGGGGAACCTGCTGGGGACATTTCCTATTCAAATCTTTGGGTGATGAATGGAAGTTGTTTAAGAGTGCATAACCCCCATTCATATAAAAAAAAATTGCACAGGAAAACCTTTTAGTGGATTGTGCCCTATGTCTCTAGCACTGCCAGTGTTATCACTAACCCCCCAAAATCTCCACAGTGCTTAAAACGCATGAACTTCAAGCTCAAAAAAAGAAGCAAAAACAAAACCATGAATCCCAAGTGTGCACTTACAAGCCAAGTAGAGCTAACACTCGAAACCTGAGCCTGATCTTAATATATCGTTGTAACTTTTGTTTAGAGTGTGGCCGCACACATACATTTTACTTACTCTATCACGGCTTCCACTATTAGTATCTGCAATCACTATTTATAGCTAAGAAGCATCAAGCATCAAAATAAATAAGATCACCTACGCATATACAATAAATATGCTTTTAAATGGAGGAAAATATATTGCAACTTAAGGCCCTGCATTATTGTGCAATTAGGAGAGAGTTTTAGGTCTTACCAGGAACTAGACACTACTCCTTATTGTACAACACACATCATTACTGCAACATAGCCAAATAAAATATCAGGAAGTGGAATGTGAAATTTCTATTGTATTAAAACATAAAAATAGGACAGGGTTTTCACTCAGGCTGCCAAACATACAATGTGCCTTCTTTAAGGACTTCAGCTTAAGTTGTTGTGAAGCTCAAAGTCACAAGTTTTCAAGACTTGTAGTTATGTACAGTTTTCACCAGTGTCCACTTCGCTTTGCTGCATTATCTTGCAATGTAGGAAGATCAGAAGTTCTGTTGCCTTCGTTTTTTTGCATCCATAGCATCCAGAATCGGCTGCCTCTTGGCTGTGTATCTTTGACGAAGTTCTTCAATTTCTCGTTCCATCATTGGATCCAAAGCTTTTAACCTCATCTGCAGCTCTTCCAAACTCAGGTTTTTCAGCTATTCAGATAGGAATACAAAAACAAAAGCCATAAAGCTTATTTAATATAAGAGTAAGACTGAGCAATAAATAAAATAAGAGTAAGACTGAGCAATAGCTGTGCACAATGCAGCAAAATGCATAACAAATAACCTAAAACTTGACAACTTATGAGCATATAAGGTCCCCTTGTATCTTAGCTTGTTTTTAGCTCCAGTTTTCATATAGTTTGATGGTTAACAAACCATGAGTTAACCACAAGTTGTCCTACAGAAGATCAAACAAACCATGGCTTTTTTGCCATTTGGTTTGGTTTGCAGTTTCTCTCACCCCATGCCTTTGTAGTTTCATGAGTATACGGCAGGGACGTCCAACTCCCAAGAGACTGCGATCTACTCCGGGGGGGGGGGGATGGCACTGATCTACCCATGGGGGGGGCAGGTCAAAGTTGTGAGCTTTTTTTAAGGGGGCACATCAAAGTTATTTACCTTTTTTGGGGGTGCCGAATTTGCAGTCCTAATTTGATAACGGGAACACCGAATAATGCTCACCAAAAAAAGAGCAGGGCAGCAATAACTCTGTCTTCCATTTTTGCGATCCTGCACGAATGAACGACAAAGCAAGGGGGCAGGGCCGGAAAGAGCAAGCGGTTGACCACGATCAACCAATATCACCCGGGGATCGACCTGTCGATCGCAGTCAACCAGTTGGACATCCCTGGTATATGGGATGGGGTGCTCAAACAAAGCATGGTTAAGTAAGGGTTTTGAGTTTACATGTAATGCTAAATCACAGTTGGAACAAACCAAGGTTTGTTAACCAACAACAAACCATGGTTTCCTACTGTGGTTTGTTGATAGTGTACAAACAACAGTTCAGCTTCTGGGCTAGGTTCACATGCTATCTAAAAATTTGGGAGCTTGTCATGCCTAGTTTGGCCCTAAGGCAGCTCCGTATGTTAGGAGGCAGGAACTTCTAACTTTATTGTGATGCAGAAAGCAACTATTTACTCTTGCCTTACTCCTAATTTGTTCCCTATTATCTTTGCTAGCAGGGAATGGTCTACTCACTGCTATACAGAAACAGCAAGCTATTTTCGACATGCTCACATGGGTCTTCTGACAAAAATTCAGATCCTTCACTGGGTCACTGTTGCACCTACTCAAGGCAAGTTGCCTTGGATGATCAAAACTGCCTAAAAACAATGGTCTGGATTCAGAAAAAGGAGACTGTTAAAATCAACTTCCTTCCTCTCAGGGCAGTAGTACATTAGCATTTTTGCAAAAGGAGTGCTTGATTAATTTCTCAGGAGCTATCCAAACATTAATAATAACGAGGGCTATTTGCAAAGAAAATGGCTCATTTGCATGCCGGCTAGCTGCAGTGAACGATGAAGCTGGATTCTTGCCAGCAAGTGGGGGGGTGCTTTAAGTGGGGGCTCCTCCACCTGTACTTGCAGGAAATAGTACAGTTTCAAAACGGGAAATGAACCCTGGGGTTCATATTTATTACATCATCTGTCAGAGCTGTTGCTGTGTGTGCAGGCATACCAATCGGGTTTCACTGGTGGTAAAATTTTGCCTATTTTATGGGAAACAAACCACCTAAAAGAATCAAGATAAATCATACCCTTATATGGGGGGAAACAACAACACAAGTTTGATTTTGCAGTAAATTCCCTGACATTTTGAACACATGGGCCTAAGAAAGAAGCAAATGAATAAAAGCATGATATCTGAATTGATCTGGTTGTGAATCAATACTGATTTCAGTGTATTTTTCCATTATCAAAGTCGGACCTCTTTCTGTTGAGGATATAACTATTATCTTCAACCTTTATTTCTATTGTCATCTGCAGCATACAGATTCGCAAGAACCATGAGTGTTGGGCAAGCAAAATACCACGTGGTCCTGTAGTACAGCAATGTACACAAGAGTGCTTTAGGATTGGGTACAAGTACCCTACCCAGTAGATATCAGAAATTTGCCACTGGCAGGCACTCCTGGCGCATTTCCAGAAATTCACCAGTCTATGCCTACTACAATGAAAAGGGCCAAAGCGAGCCGTGTCAGGGACATGTCAAGAGAGGAGGGGTAGCAACATGACAAGAACTGTAGTACACAGTGATTAAAACATTTTAAAACAGAACGGCTAAAATAATAACATTATACAGAGGTTCGACAATAATGCTAGTTAAGACCCAGGGCAAAACTCACGTCCCCAAAGTCAGGGTGAACAAAAATGTTTTCAGTTGACATCTGAAACTTAGCAGCATGTAGAATAATCACCCTTCCCCAGGGATTGCAGTGCTGTTTTTGACCTCTGAAAAGGTCCTGTCTTTAGTCACCACATCATGGGCCACTCCTGTTGGTAGGAGCACATGTGGGACCTCCCCAATCAATCGCAAAGCACAGGCTGGGAAGGTGATTGTTCAAGTTCTTGGATCCTGAGCCATGAAGGGCTTTGTGTACTAATACCTACACCATGAACACTGATCACAGACTGGGAGCCAGTGCAGTGTTTTAAGGATCAGTGTTATATGACCCCATTTAGCTGCTTTACTTATTGACTATTAGTCAATAAGTGGCATTCGGCATAAGCTGCAACTTCTAGATATTCTTCAAGGGTTGCCCAGTATAGAGGGCATTGCAGGAACTGAGCATAGGCATTCCTAAATGGCCTCGGCCCAGTATATCTGAAGGAGCGTCTCTACCCCCATCGTTCTGCCCGGACGCTGAGGCCCAGCGCCGAGGGCCTTCTGGCGGTTCCCTCATTGCAAGAAGCAAAGCTACAGAGAACCAGGCAGAGGGCCTTCTCGGTAGTAGCGCCCACCCTGTGGAACGCCCTTCCATCAGATGTCAAAGAGATAAACAACTACCTGACATTCAGAAGACATCTTAAGGGAAGTTTTTAATGTATGACATATTAGTGTGTTTTTGGTCTTTGTGGAAGCCGCCCAGAGTGGCTGGGGAAACCCAGCCAGATGGGCGGGGTACAAATAATAAATTATTATTATTATTATTATTATTATTATTATTATTATTATTATTATTATTATTCCTCACCACCAAGGACAGTTGTGTTTCCTTTTAAGAACCCCCAAGCTATGTATAACCTATTCCTTCAGGGGAAGTAAAACACCACCCAGGATAGGCCATCTTCCTAATTCCTGGACTTGAGAACCACCCACCCACAACATTGGGTAGATAGAAATAAAAAATAGCTAATGTTCATGCTGTCAACCATGATTTGTGCATACCTCATTTCAAAGGGGCCAGTCAAAATATGTGCTTTGCCTCAATAGAATGTTTTTTGGCTTGATGTGCACATGTGTGTGTGCATACATGTGTGTGTACACCTGAAACAATGTTATTGTTAACAGGCATTCTCAGAAACTGCAACCTTCCATGAATAAATGATTGAGCAGAATACACGAACAAATTGACTTTACTAAAGGCTCTCATGCAGAAAATGTACAAACATTTATTAAAACATTCAAGCTCATAGCTCATTCGCTTCCACTTTCCGTTTGCTATTAATTAAGTAAAAGCTACAAATAAAAACCCATAAAACCCTCGGTTCAGCTTGGGAAGGGTAGGCTAAAGCTATTGATTTGATTATTTTCGTCATGATTACTTAGGAAGGATTAAACAGAAACTCTGTTTCCTGCTGAACAAAACTCTCTGGCATCGAATAGGCCATTGCTTCATCAGATAAAAACAATTTCCTGGTGAAGCTACTCTGTAGTCCAAAAATACCCTTTGTCTACAAAATTGAAAACACATATCATACTTTAATTATGTTGTTACACTAGAAAACAATTCTGGAATGCCAAAAAGTCCTTTGTTTTTGTAAAATATCAATTGAAACAATGAAATTGCTGTTGAGAATCTCCTAGGGCAATCAACTTCTGCTACAAGAAGAGAGTGTAGAAGCATTCTCTTCCTGTGAAGGCCGCGGGAAATAGAAAAGTTCTTTAAATGACATTTTTATAGCTTTTTTAAAAACTCGACTAACCACAACAACTCACACAGACCCATGTATCTTTCCTAAATCAGACAACAGCACTTGGTGCTACCTATCCCAGCTATGAAACCATTTTCCCTTTCAATATTTTTCAGGACTGAAAGTCCACAATCCAATAATTCAGTGGTTGGGCAATGTAAACTACTGGCCAATGTGAAGAAAACAGCAAACACAGCACAGAGCAATGTTCAGTACTATTCTGTAAGAAAACATGTAAATCTTGCACATAGGCCTGCAAGGCTTTTGTGTACCTCCCATCAGAACTTTTTTTGGTCTTATCTGCAGACAGCACACTAAATTTAGGCAGCAGTCTTCCCCCACGTGCATGTTCTTTGGGTTACAGCAACCAAGACAACCTAGTTAAGGTTCATCTCATCTTGCCTTCAATGGCAGTCCCTAGAAGATCATTATATTACATGCTTATTTGCTCCCCCTTTTCAAAATCTGCAGAAAAACAGACATTACTATTTTCCAGTTAAAATGGTCCATGGCCTAAATAGGTAACTTTCCTTGATATAGTTGATGGCCGTTTCTGGTCTCTCTCCTGCTGCTTTTATAAAACAGACGCTTTCCTTTGCTTTAAAGTACCCCCCCCCCCAAATATATCCATATCTATCTATCTATCTATCTATCTATCTATCTATCTATACATACACACACATACACACACACACACACACACATATGAATGAATATGAAATGGAGCACTTAAGAAGGGCCACTACTGTTTTTCCTTCTTCTGCACATTAAAGGGTAGAGAAAGGCGAAATTACATAAACATTCATTTGTCATTTGTTTCTGGAAGCTAACTAGTGTAGTTCATAATATTAATGCCGCACGTTTTGAAAGTAAATGCTAGCTGGGAAAAGACAGGATTGTGGAAATGAGTCATTTTCCTATTTGGAATCAGCAATATGTGTTTTCAAAAAACCCTCCAAAGCAACGCTTGTAGTATTCAAGTGCCAGGGAGGTGGGCAGAACCAAAATACAAGG